TTGGTCAGGTATGACAAGAAAGACATGGCTAAAGTTTGTTTGACAGATTTACAGTTTATTGCTGCCATGGGTCCATCAGGAGGAGCTAGGAATAATGTCACTCCTCGCCTTCTGCGCCACTTCAACATAATTTCTATCAATTCATTCAGTGAAGACACAATGAAACGTATCTTTTCTACTGTCATGAACATCCATTTTAGGGTAAGAAGATGTAAAATTCAAGGTTTTTAGTTGATAAGAGTATGAAATGTGAATGTTCATACATTGCCCAGTTTACATGTTTGATTCAGAGAGTAAGTATGCATTTCAATTTAATATATTTTGTTTTTTAAATTTTATGCAACTTTTAGTGGCAAATCAAAATTTAAAATTGTTAAAAAGTTACTAAGTTGTGAGTCTGTTTTAAGAAATTTGACTCAAATGAACAAGTTTTAATAATTCATTAGGGATGGTTTTATTTCAGCTGTTTTTTTTTATCATTCTAGAACAGTAACTTTCCACTGGATATCTTCCCATTGGTTGGAAATATTGTTTGTGCCACAGCTGAAGTCTACCATGCTGCTCTTGCTAACTTGCTTCCTACACCAGCAAAGTCTCACTATACGTTTAACTTACGAGACTTTGCTCGGGTCATTCAAGGATGTTGTCTCATTACTCCACATGGTCTGAGGAACTCCAATACATTGATTCGGTATAGTGAGTCATAATGCATATTTTGTTTTTACTGCTACAATATTTTTATGTAATTCTATTACCATTTAATATGTAATACTATTATTGCATTATTTTCTTTTTGTATATTTATATACTGTAAATAGTATCAGTCAATGTTGTTCAATGAGTGTGTCAGAAAAATATTACTAGCATATAGCCCTGTAATTTGTCTTTCTTAGTCATGTTTTCCCATGAAAAAGGAAATAAATGTAGCAATATTCCTGCACTGTTCAATTATGTATCATCCTGAACAAACTGTTAATGGTTTTCTGGGAATGCTGTACCTTATCTAAACTCACTGTTAATAGTTTTCTTGCCATGCTTTACCTCACAATCTCTCATGATATGTGACTCTACAAGCAATTCACCTGCTTTTTTTTTACCTTACTTGTAATTTTCTCTATGCTTAATTAATTTTCTGTATCTGATAAAAATGAGGTGTATCCCAATATTTATCTGTTTAATTTTAGAATTGGTTATTATTTAAATAATTATATGTATGAATGTCAACATCTGCACTAATCTTGTGGTAATTCAAAGTTATACCTGTGTTCTCTCATCTGATCTTTACAAAAAAAATATAATGAAGGTGTTCTTGGATCAAATGTGGAAGGAAAAACTGCAGTGATCTATTGTAAGTGGGTTGAAAGAAACAAGACACAATGTTGAAATTTGAAGCAAGAAATGAGACACTTGATTGCTGAAGAACTGATTGTTGTGTGATTTCGAAGTTAGTAGACATTATTTCATTGTGATAGGTTTATTTGAAACATTAAATGAAAAGTAAAAAAAGGACAAAAGATTAGTGCATAAACGAAACTTCACCTTCCAGACAGAAATGAGTCTGTTCTCCTCAAAGTCAGAATGAATCTGACTTGAAAGGGCCAAACTGATCAAAAAGCACCTTCTTTCTTTAGCTGACCAGTCAGAAAACAGGCGGTACAATATGGAAATACTTCTGTTCCACATAAAATTCACAAGATGCCCTCCATACAAGCAGGACACAGTGCACCTATCCCATAGAAAAGCAGATAAGTTTCTTGACTGATCAAGCTACAAAAAGTAACACCTCAAGCTAAATCTTGCAAGCATTCTCCACTGGATATATCCTTCAAAATTAAATTTTAAAAATTTGTAGTCAAGCAAAATGTACTATAAGAGAGTATGATATGTAGTATTACAATCTCACATTGTATTCTTATGAAATACAATGAGGAATCACTTCTAAAGGTAAGTGAGAGCTTTCAATACATAGTTTTGTAAAACTAATTAAAATATGTTTCTACAGAACTGTAAGTTGCAGTTCTGATAATAGGAGATTATTACAGAAAATGTATGGTGTTGTTACATCTCCGTTCGTTAGTTAATTTTCCGTAAAAATTCTTTCCGGAGAAACTTTACCGATACAAGTCCTTTCTTAAATAAAACTGGTTTATTCTTTCTGAATACAACTTTGCGATACACTTAATTTCAACAGTCGCGCTATACCAAACGCTATAATTCACAACGAAAGTCTCACGTGCTCAACAATATTCTCTCTCCGCAGTTCAATTACACATTACCTTACCTCCGTCACGTTGTGACCATCTTTCATATAAAAGAATACTGAGATCTAGTAAACTCCCGATATTTCATGAAGGTTCGAGAAGGAAGTGGCGTGATACAAGCGTCACGTGACCTGCATTGTCGTAACAGTATATTATCAACTGCAACATTTTTAAATAATTTTATTTAACATTTCTTATTTCAAAATGCACTATCACCACAACTGATAAATTATTATATTAGATGTCTGTCCCAGTTATAATGGAGTATGGGTATGATTACAAAAAAGATTAGAGATTTTAACATTCTAACTCGTTTTAATTACTTGATATTATTACCTTTTGCAGTTTTCCTTGTTAATAGGATTTTTTTGTTTAGATATACTAATTTCTATTTAAATCTGATTTGCTATTTTTGCAGCGAGTTTTGAACAATTACACTTGTATTATCATTTATTAGCAAGAAAAGTGCTTGTAATAATTTTAAGAACAATTTTTACTTTAGGCCTGGTATCATTTCAATAACTACATGTAAATATTCTAATAGCTTATCCATTTTTAATTGTTACCTTAAATAAAAGATTTGTGGATTATAATAAATCTCATTAATTACTACATACAGTGTGTTTTAGTTATCATTAGTTATTATCACTTACAGGTTAAAATTCTAATTGTGTACATAGATCATAATTGTACTGGAGGCTACTTCGTTTGCTATAATTTTAAGAAATTGCAACTTCTTGACTTGAACTTTCATATGTGATATTTTATAAGAGTATAAATAAATATACAGTTATATATTTATTTATTTGTAGATTATGGGTGCATGAAGTATTTCGTGTGTTTTATGATAGGCTGACAGATGATGAAGATAGACATTGGCTATTTAGGCAAGTTTTCAAAATACTCTTTTTCTGAAAACTTAAACATTGGCTTCACCTTGCATTAGTATTGAGTTTTGCAAATTGTATAGTGCTGAATATTTCAGTGTAAAAGAAAAATTTCTAAATAATGATAAAATAATGAAATTCTTTTCTTTTATATTACATAAACAGTAAATAAATTGAGTTATTCTTCCTGTTAAACATTTTTTTTACAAAAACAAAAGAATACTTGTTATACAGTTTTTGGAAGCTTTTATGAATTATCATTCTGTAGTTTCAAAAAGTTTTCTTAAAATAACCACAGTAAGTTATCAGCTATATGTCCTTCATTTATCATCCTGTTTTAGAAGAACAACTCTGAACTTGTAGTAATGATTACCATTTTAAACTTTCTTCATGACATAACAAATTATGAATAAACTATAAATATTAACATTACAAGATCAGCTGCTACAGTAGGTCAAATAAAGAATATTTGATTTGTAAAATATTGGTCATCTATCCAACCATTACCAAATTGTATCCATCTGAAATCTAAGACAGTATAAATAAACAAGTTTGGATTAGAATTTTAATCACTTCCTCATCAGAAAATGCTTTGTAACATACATGTATTTATAGAAAATATATGTTGACCCTTGACTAAAATAGAGTATGTAATCCAAAGTACATTATATCACAATAAGTAACTTGCTTTTAAATGTTCAGTGAGTAGATTTGTAGGTGATATATACATATTATTATAAACCAAATTGATGTTCAATTAACACATTGTCTTTGGACAGAAAATTACCTGTTTTTAAATGATCATTGACATGATGTTTTCTACATACTATCATATGGTATCACTCATTCTCAGGTTTTTATAGTTTTTTATAGACTCTTTCACTAATTATCAGTGCACAAATTAACCAAAAATGTACAGTATGATACTTTGTCAGCTTTCCTGTGAATTTTTATTCTTATTGATATTTTTAACTTTCACTCACAAAGTTCTTTCCAAATGCCATTATATCATTTGATATATCTACTGTTTGAAATTTCAAAGAAGGTAATTGGAGGAATATTTTCACTACAGAGATCCTGAACTAGAAATAGGTACTTCCTTTATCCTTTGAAAATCCCTGATTTACTTAGTCTACTCTCTTTTAAATTCATGGCTGGTTATTCCAACTTCTTTGGTGACACCTTTTTTATAGATTTGCATCTTTATCAATCTACTTTACTTTATATAGACACATTTTATTATATCTTTTTAAACTTCATCTTGGAAATTCTGTAACTTGTGAGCACAAAGCTTCCTGTTTGTGGTCTAAAGCTTATATTATATGTATATAAATATAACTTAAGTACCACAAGAGACCTTTTGATCTCATCCCATCCACTAAACTAAACCTTAAAAATAAACATAAAAAACTCAATCCAGATCTTATCATTAAAATATTTATCAAGCATTCCCTTAAACTTCCTTAAATTAACTGCATACACCACATCTGAAGGCAATCCATTTCAAAAGTCAGCCTCCTTATTAGAAAAATAAAGCTGGCGTAACTGAAGATGACTCCTACCCTGTACAAATATATATATTTGTGTCCCCTATTCCCTATCATTCTCACCAAAAAAGTGAAAAAGTAATGCATCAACACTATCACTTCCCTTAACAGATAGAAGCTGCTGTGGCTGAGGCTTTTGCATACTTTTTTTGTCTTTGAGATAAATTGTGGAATAAATCCAGAGTTATGTTTGTTAAAATGCATATGTCATAATGTAAATCATGATTATTTTGTTATCTGACATATATTAAAGTACCTTAATTTATGCAAATGCCTAAATTCTTTGAAAATTATGGTTTACTCATGAAATATAGAGAACTAAAATGATTTTAAGATTGGTAGTCTTGCCTTGATTCTTTTGTCAATTTCCTGTACATTTTCCAAAGATTACAATGTTTTTTCTCAGTTTACTACAAAACTGTGTACGATCTCACTTCAAAGAAACATTTGATACTCTGTTTCCTCATCTCCTTCATGCAGGCAAGGTAGGATCTCTTAGTCTGACAGATTTTTGTTTTAGCATGTTTATATCTTGTATTTGTGTTGCCAGACTGTATAGCATTTGTGTGTGTGTGTGTATATATATCTACAAATCTATAGTTTTAATATTATAAATTACATTAATTGTAAATAGGCAATTGAATCAACATTATATAACAATAATGAAACTAATACAAATCTTTGATTTACCTGTTTTCTTATAAAATTATGTTAAGGTGTTGATTTCATTGCCTTTTTCTTCTTTTCCTTTTTAACTTTGATTTGCATGTGTATGTTTACTTTGTAAAACGTTGACTTCTGTTAGTTTTTTGTTTTTAATTTAAAAATTCACCTGCTTAACTCATTCAAATAAATATAGTATTTGAGTCTGTCCAGCTAAGTTTATCACCCATATTTCATTCTTCACCTTCTCGTTCAACGAATTTTATTATGAAAGTTTTTAGTGTATTTTCAGAAACCAGAAACTGAATAATGCAGTTCTTTAAGACTCCCAAATGACATGAATCGATTTAAACAGATGTTTGAGACTGTTATATACTGGAGGTCTTTAGGTGACTTTACTAAAGCAAATAAAGTATAAAAGTATGAATAATTAAACAATGTCTTTTCTTAGTAACAATACACAAGCTTATAACTCTTTCCTTACTGATATCCTTAGTAATCAAAGATGGAATTTTGAATTTGTTGTTTAAAGATATCCTTTGCATAATAAAACAATGGATTATGTCATGTATTTTAAAGGAAAGTGACAAGTTGCTATTAATAGATAGCAAATATGATAGAAGATGACTATAGGTAAACATGAAGAAATTTGTTAGAAAGTTCCATTTGAACTTTGCAAATGACAGGCTTAATCCAGTAAGAAAGAGTGGAAGTTAATTTGTAACACATCAAAAGTTTTTCTTGACCAAAATATGATAGTTCTCTCAAAAGAATCCTTAGCATAGGTATGATAACAAAAGAGAACCCTGACTGTTCACAAAATATTCATTCTAGTTAGAACATACAAGTCTTAGTGCAATTGATGTGAAAAAAAAAACACACCATAATCCTCTGGATATTTAAGACTTTAGGCAAAAAGGAATGGCTAGGAAAGAAAATGTAAACTATCTTGGACAGTAAGGATCCTAGGAATATAACTTAATTAACTGAGAATACACAGTGAAGCTTGTATTGCTGTAAGGGGGGATCACAGCCATTATTAGTGCATTTACTGATTAAGTTCAATTCCAAATTTTCATGTTCATACCTTACTGAATGCAAAGCCAATAATTTTCCTTTCTATTTATTCATGATATAACAGCTCACCTTACCACAATTTTCATGACATTTTTAAAGAGTTTTTGAGAAGTTAAAATTAATATATTAAGTATGAGAAAGGGGTAAGCAAGCTAATATTTAACAGAAAATTATATTCAAACTTATTTTTAATGATATTTTTTCAGTATTAGAAGTTACGATATTAAATCTGATGTCATCCTCTGTGTTTGAAAAGAAACTGATTTGTAACAGTACTTTTTTGATTTAATAGAACATGAATTGATGAAAGTAGCACTTTTTAGGTTACAGAAGATGCAATGGGGAGCTTGATGTTTGGTAGCTACATGAATCCAGATGCTACTGTGGAAGAGAGAGTTTATGAAGAAGTTTCCGATCTTGAATCTTTTGAAAAAGCTGTACGAGTGTATCTATCAGAATATAACAGCATTCATAAATCACAGATGAGTCTGGTTATATTCAGGTAAGTTTGAGTATTATAATGGCACAAATTGAGAACTCTAAATTAAAACTTTTTTTTTTGCTTAACTACAAAAGTAAGTTTGAAATAATGTTGAAATTCCATAAATGTATGTGTACAGATTTTCGAGGTATCACCATAGAATCCAAAGTTTTGAGGTTGTTTGATTTGATGTGTATTTTCTGCTTCTACTAATATTATTAAGTCTTTCAGAATTATATATTTTTCCTTGTATAGAGTATCACCTCAAGCTAGTTATTTTAATGGTCTCCCCAAGTACAATTTCACTGCTTACTTTTGATAACTATTTTGTGCACATAAATGTAACGCAAGGCTTAACTCAAACACTATTTGGTAAATTTTATTTTGCTTTGGCCACAACTCAATGTCATAGAACTTCTGAATTAAACTATTTTGCTGTTATATCACTGAAGTTATCAAAAAACTAAATAATAAAAAACAAACCTTTCTAACAAATCAACATGAATATTGAGCATTCAACATGAACACCATAGTTGGCCTAAGAACAATCAGGTGATAGTTCTGTTACTAATAGATGATGCATATTGCTGAGAATTATAAAAAAAAGGGTGTTGTTACGTCTCTGGTCGTTGGTTAATTTTCCGTAGAAATTTTTTCCAAAAACTTAGCGATACAAGTCCTTTCTTAATTAAAACTAGTTTATTATTTATCCATTCAACTTTGCAAGACACTTAATTTCCACAGTCACTTTAACTTAAACACACGCTATAATTCACAACAAACGATTCATGCACT